GACTCAGGGAATTGATTGTTTGCCGTCCAGTGAGGTAGCCCAAGTTCGAATACCAGTGATGGCTGGTCTATACGAATTCCGCTTCCGGTTTGCAGTGATCACAAGGCTGATGTTAAATATCCTCATTGGTAGACGAATCATGGATAAGAGTCCCCTGCCGTCAGGCTAACCGTGGGAGGTTTCTGTGTTTTTTCTCTCTGTGACGCAAATTCGGGTTAGTTCCATCAAAAAATCTTCCACGAAGGCAAATTTGATCCAGGAGTTCCCTTGTCTTCCGGATTGGGATCAAAATTACAAGGCTGCGGAGTTGATCTTTAGCAGTCGATCTTTAGCAGTAAAATTGGGTCGCAAGTTCAATGACAATTATAAAATAAAATAAAATATTCTTTAAACAGAAATCAGAGATTCTCTAACAGGAAAAATTTTCCTTCTTCACTTTCATTCTACGCAGTAGNATCCAGGAGTTCCCTTGTCTTCCGGATTGGACTCAAAATTACAAGGCTGCGGAGTTGATCTTTAGCAGTAAAGTTGGATCAGCAGTTCAACGACAATTATAAAATAAAATAAAATATTCTTTAAACAGAAATCAGAGATTCTCTAACAGGAAAAATTTTCCTTCTTCACTTTCATTCTACTCAGTAGAAAAGTGGGGACATTTGATATTTACTGGAGTGAATTTTGAAAATCTTGGTAATGATTACGCTACTAGCGCAAGAAAACTTTAGTTTGGAGAGATAAACCTACTGCTGGTTTGAAATCAGCGGCACGAAAATATCTATGATCTGTTGGAAAAAATCACGCGCAACAAAAGAAAAACAAAAACAAAAAAGTTCTTTGGAGCAATTAGATTTATTAACTCTCAAAATCGATGTAATAAAATGTTCCTCATTGTTATTGATAGCAGCTCAAAGCGTTACAATAAATCTAACGCATAATGTTTCCGTGATATTTTAAATTAATTTGATTTTCGGTAGCTAAACTCTTTTTTTAATTAGCATCTTATAGAGCGAAACATATTACTTTCCTTGTAAAAACCAGTTTTTCATTGACTATATTTTGGGTGATGTAAAATAATTGCTTAACCTACATTGACCTGGGATATTTGTACTTCCTTCTCCTTTATTCTCGTAATTCACTAGCTTATCTAAATTCACACATCAATGTCACACGCTGGACGTGAAGAGTATAATTACCACAACTCAATTTGTACTCAATTCAATGCGGCCATTGTGTCTAATTAGCAGACAAAGCATGAACAGCTCTTAACATTTTGAACTCGTGCCTTAGTTCTTACAAAACTTTATTTAAAATTTTAAAACTTAAAAAAGTTTTTTTTATATTTTACTATGTTTTATAATAATATAATTTTATATTATGTTATATTATACTGATATATATAATATAATATATATTATATTATATATTGCATTATATTATACTAATATATATAATATATTATATTATATTATATTATCTTGGTATAAACTTCCTAATTTTCTAATAATTTATCGTTAATTGGTACGAAATACAGTAATAAAGTTACGTAGTTAGCACCGAGGTACCCAATATAGTTAATAGATATTTAAAACACTCAAATGGTATAAATACCGGAAAATTTTCTTGGGCGTGATTGTAAATATAGACTATCATGAGTGGAACAGGGACAATAGCATTATGTTACTGCTAAATGATAGCAAATAGCAAATTATAATAAATAACAAATCATAATAAATAACAAATTATGATAGATTAAAAAAATTTTTGAAATTATTTTAGCTTCATCTATATCGGTATATGCCTTTCAATTTTCTACCTGATTTTGCAATATTGATAAGTACTGATTCAGTATTGAATATCTTTTTTCCCGAACCTCGTACGAAGATTGAGTATTCAGATAGTTTCAAACAATGTTCAAAGCATTTAAAAAACAATATTTTTTTATGGAGTCATTGTGATTTTTCTCTTTATAAGAATAACTCAGTTAACTTTTGCAATGCATGAAACTAAATACATGAAATCATAACAGTCATAAAATGATTCTAATAATATTGGGGATTTAAATCGTCTGTTGGATGTTTTCTACAGTAATAAAATATTTACAAAATATGAACACAATATTATTTATGTATGATGAGATTTTTGTAACCAAGGAAACTTGATTAATTTCTTCACATTACCAAAATCTTTTTCATCAAAGTTTTTCGGAGGNTGAAGAGTTTAGATAATATAATATAATAAAGGCTCCGAAGACTTTACGACAGAAAAGTTTAATGAAGACCAAAACAGCACTCTTTTGGTCACTTCGCACGCTGATCAAAGTGCTCACCCATCTGCCACTGACCACTGCCAGCGATGCTTGAATTCGGTTTTTTACTGGGAACCACGTCTTAATATCAGTCCTCAGACTTTTTAGTTTTAAATAGGACGAAAAGCGTTAAATATTTTTATTTTCTTGGTTTATTTTACATTTCTGCCAACTTGCGTGGTCGTAAGGAAAGACAGTGGAAGTAATATAAACATCCACAAATGAAATTGTTCTCCCACCGAGCGTGCTGGCAAGAGAACTATCCATAACTCTGGGTTTTTCTTTGAGCTGTCATTCTCTAACTTGTGCTGTTTGTTATTCAACATTACGAGTTTTTATAGATTTTTACGTGCATGCGTAAAATAAATTTATTAACTTTATTTTTAAGCATATATATGCTGGCTTGTGTCATTATAAAATATTATTTACAAGCATTGTTAATTTGAGGAACTGCTAGCACAAGTCAGAAGAGGATCACAAATATACCACAAGGATTTCGGCCGTATTCGAACCTGCAACCTTAGATGTATCATGGATTAGAATCCCCTTGCTGTTGGGTGAACCATTTGAGGTTTTCGTGGTTTCCCTCCTTATTTAACGTAGATTGAGGGTTAGTTTCAACGAAGAGTCCACCACCAAGTCTAGTTTTTTTAAATGCTTGTTCCAGGAGATCCCGTGTCTTCTGTGTTGGCTTTAAGATAACAAACAAGACTACGGAGTTGAACATTGGTAGTCGCAAACTCAGATTAGGGTCGGCTGTCTGACGACGGTAATAAAATGAAAAAAACATCCTTTTTTTTATAGAAATTCAATTTCAATAAAGTTTTTGTCACAATTATTCTATTTTGGCAAGCTTATACTCCGATTAACACCCTGAACATCGAATTACTCTGCCACATATAGGTACTTTCTCTTTTAAGTTCTTAATAAAATGAATGACGCTTACTTTTTTCCACAGTTTACTGTTACCTGGACTATTATGTAGCCTTTGCATACGCTTTTTTTTATTCTTATAGTTGTAGTTCATTTATACGTTTCACAAGAGCTGCACAATGGGCTATTGGCGACGGTCTGGGAAACATCCCTGAGGATGATCCGAAGAAATGCCATCACAATTTTCATCCTCTGCAGGGGGGGTGGCACCCCCGCTTCTGCAGTCCGACGACCTGCACGCGAAATCGAGCACTTTACAGTAGAACAGTTTAAGGAGGACCGATACCGCAAGCCCTCGGTCCCTACGCAGACTGATACAGATGGTCACCCATCCGCACACTGACTTTCAGGCAGTGATACTTGACTTCATGCCTAACGTTTCTCCATATTTTCGATAAAAGACTACCCATTTCTCCATGTAACAATTTTCCTCAGAGTCTTGCTACATAACAATTTGCTTGATTTAAGTATCACTGCTTTGTAGTAGTGTTTTAAAATACAATTTCAGATATTTCAATTAAGTTTTTCTTTTTTATATCTTTGCAGATTCCCCCTTGAATGCAGTTGTTAGATTACGCTATAATATCCGGTCGGAGAAATTTTGCAATACTCGAACTAAGTTAAAATTAAGTGAGTAATTAATCAAAAGTAATCTTATAAAAATAGATTTCTATTCTTAATAAATTCTGTTAACAAAATATCCTTTGTTTCCACGATATTTAAGCAGTATGTCACACTCGCAAAGCAGTAACGATTTATCTAAAGAATAAAAAATTCCTGCACAGCCAGAAAAGAGAAAAAAAATCATTAACACCACTTCCTTTAATATTTTAATCTATATTTTGTTTTTACCGACGATGAAGTGCAGACTTATATTTGATTTTGTGCTATCATTGTTCGGCCTTGTAACTTTGAATTCAACCAAAAAGACAAGGGAACTCTTGGATCATGCAATTGGAGAAACTAACCTTCGTGGAGGACTTTCTGATGTAACTTATCCGAATTTGCGTCACATTTAATAAAAATCCACCGAAGTTTTCCTCGGTCAGTCCAACGGCCGAAATGTTCTTGACCACTGTCCGTCTACCACTAGGGATATTTTATGTCACTATGGCTGGTGCGAAACTTTAGAAACATTCCATTCGAACAGCCATCGCTGGGATTCAAACCTGGGTCGAAATTGATATAATAATCAGATTTTTACTTATTGAGATACATAAAAGCAAAAGACAAATACTAATTATCTTTATAAATTAATTAAGTGACAGGGCATCAACAAATCCTAGATTTGTTTGTAATGTCTTGCACTAGCACTTTTATTTCATTATGCAAATTCATGTTTAATTTATTTAAGTTTTGATAAATAGCAATTATTTACCAAAAATCTCTATTTTAATGAATATAAAAATTAAAAAATACTATTTTTTAGTTAAAAATCATGTAATTCCATAAAATATTAGACACCGTGTGAAAATTTTTATCACTTTACTTTTTCCTCTTATTTTTCTTGTTTTTTGTAGATAACTTCAAACTCACTAGATATTTTTTTAACTTATTTTTGGAAATGATAATTGACAAAAAAAAAAAAAAAAAAAAAGAAAGCAAGTGANAAAAAAAAAAAAGAAATAAATAAATAAAAGCAATACTAAAATGTAAGTCAAGTTCAATACTTCATTACTCCTCCCCATTCAAACATTATCTCCAGAGAGGTTTCAAGGGTTAATTTAGAAGATAAATTCTACTGAACCTATAAAAAATGTTAATAGTATTCTTATCAACTATGATAAGATGAGGATAATTCTTTCCTACTATTATTAGAGTAGTCTTATCTTCTGCGGAGACCTTGAATCTAAAATCGGGAAATGTGATCTTGGAACGTGGGGTTTGTTTACACTGAAAAGGATTATTTCGTTAAGTCAATGAGGGTAAAGGTCAATTCAATCTTATAATCCAAGAACATAACGTTTGCAGGGGGGAGGGCGGAGTTTTTGATGACGTGGGGACCACGTTTCTGCGGTATGACTTAATAGTAACAAACTATTCTACAAAATATTCTGGAATTGGAACCTTTTAAACTCTAACCTTTGAATACGAAAACTCGTGGAAGATCGGTTTTCAAATTGAAGAGTTTAGTTACTATAGTCCTGCACTATGACTAGCTCAGGTAGTTAATTTTTTTTCGTTCTATAATACTATTTGTATGGAATTCTAGCAACAATTGTTATGATTTTAGCTTTATAATTATTTGTAGTTTATATTGATTTTCAAAACGATAATACAAGTTTGCTAACAAATTTTATATATCCATAATTCGATTTACATGAAGTTATTTTTTGGTATGATTTTGTCGAATTTTTTAATTAAAAGTACTCTAATTAAATCTCAAAAACAAGGATATTGTGTACGATAAACTTCTTTTACTACAATACGAAATGTCTAAGTTCAATTTTTATAATCTTTGTTATGATTTCAACTTTATAAATGCTTCTAGTAGAATTTAATTTTTAAAAGCCAAACTTGTAGGCCAAACAAATAGGCAGTTTTTACTCACTATAAAATGGTTTATATAAATTATATGCGTCGTATAACCTTTGTTATGGTTTGATTTAACCTTATATCTAGAAGAACGTGTGTACTTATATTTTAAAAACACTAACATTGTAGTATTTCTCATTATGTTTACTATAATACGATTTGTATAAGTTCAATTCGTGTAACATTTGCTTTGATGTTATAGAAAATTGTAGTTTATTATAAACTAAATAATTTTATATAACACTCATGTCGTGATGAGTGTCGTGATCTTATTATAATCTGATTAGAATAAATTAAATTCGAGAAACGTTTGTTATGATTTAAACATTTCAGGTACTTTTAGTTGAATTTAATTTTAAAAGTCGAGTCTTCTGTAAGAAATAATTTTTTTTCTTGCAATTAAAAGATTTTTATAAATTGAATTCGAATGACTTTTAGTATGATTCTCTTTAACTTTATGTATATTAGTGTAATTTTAATTAAAAACGTGGCTATTGTAATTTTTACTTTTATCTGGCTATAATACACGATTTGTATAAATTAAATTCGTATAGCTTCTGTTACGTTTTTAACTTCACTTATTTAATTTTAAAAAAATAATTTTAATTTTAATAACTCGTTTGTTGTAATAAAAGTTTTGTTTTACTATTGTAAAAAAAGATTTATACAAATTGAACTCTTATACCCTTTGGTATTTAACTTTATATTCTCTTATATAATTTAATTTCAAAAGCATGCATATAGTAATAAACTTTCCTTGATATATTTTCGATATTATAATTTATATAAATTTAATTCCTCTAGGTTTTGACATAATTTTACTTAAATTTCTAATTACTAGTTACATAATTTTATTTTAAAAGCAAATTTAGTGTACTTATAAAATAGTTTATTTTTCGTAGAAAAAAGATTTATATAAATTGAATTCATACAGCAATTGATATAAGTTTATGCAATTTCAAAATTACGGGCAGTATAATTTAAAAATGCCTATTCTAAGAACTGGAGTTTTCTTTCTATATTGCAATTTGTGGAAAGTATTTATATATTTTAATATGATTTAAATTAGTTTTATAATTTCGGTTGGCATTATTTAATTTTAGATCACGTATATTGTTATAAAAATATATTGAGTTTTTTTCCAAGAAATTATCTAAGATTTTTTTTTATATAATATATTATCAAGCAAAAACAAATACTGAAGAGTGTAATAAAATTTGAATAACTGAATAACCATTAATAAATATTTTCTTAGATAGCCACTTAATCATTTGAACCTCCGTTAGTTTTTCGTAAGATTGTTGTTTTATAACAATTTATTGAAAATTTCCAGAATTATACTTATTGGCGTAATAATTAGTGAAATTTTCAATCTGTTCTGAAAAGCATTTTTGTGACAAAGAACAGTTTCCATGCAGTCAATACAATGTTTCTGCTTGTGCGTTCCTCTTAAGTTTTCAATATATATTTTTTAACTAACTTATTAGTTTGACTTAAATTTGAATTGCTTTTAAACACATAAAAATTTCTCTAATAATTGCTAAAGTAAACTTTATCTGGCAAGTAAAAGAAAAATCCGCAAACAAATTAAACATTCGAGTTTTATCAAACAATCAAGTCAAGTGTTATAGCCTTTTTAAATTTTTTGTTTGTAATAAATTGAAACTGTGTAATATTCTCTCCTGAGTTTGAAGATAATAAAACAATTTTAATTGATAGCATTCAATTTATTACAAAACTTTTCACATTTCATTGAAATTGAGTTAGTTTTTCAACTTAAATTTCTTTAGTTTTTCTACTTAAATTTCTTATCTTTGATTTCGATGACTTTGTCGTAGCATTTGTATTTTAAATTAGGTAATAAAAATTAAAAATCAATGTCATATTTTTTATCACAAAATGAAAATTTATTATTTATAAATTGCCATTGCTTACATATTTGATATCGATTTGTTCGTAATTTTTAACAATTTTAATTTATTTTAAATTTCTTGCTCCCGAATGTCTTAATTTATGAGTATTATTTTGATTTATTTATCAGAGTTAGTTTAAGCGTTTTACAAAAATTTGTTGACTTTCATACAATGGACTCATTTTTAGATGTTTTTTCTGAGTACAAAATATTTTTTAAATTGGTTAATCGACTGTATATTTAATATTTGCGTAATTTGTTTTGAATTGATTAAATAGTTTTCATTGAATTTCAACGATGCTAATTATCATTTGCATTTATTTCCAACACTCAACTCTTTTTAATACTGGGATGCATTATTAAATAAAATGTTCTTCTCAATAATTTATTGCTAGAGTGATTTTGTAAAACATTTCAATTCCAAATTATCGAGAAATAAAAATATTTAAATTATAACAACATTACTAAAAATCATTTAATTAGTTCAATTCGATCTCGAGTCATGAAAATTGCTATGCTTAGTATAACGGAATTCCAAATTTGAAATTGCTCTAAGATGAAAAGCAAGCATATTCTTTTTGCGTAGCAAATAAACAGGGTAAAGTCTAGACTGTCACGCGATACCTTGTGTCCTTTTGACCTTGAGACCTGGACTAATGGTTTTCATCGGAATAGATTGGTATCATTAAAAGGTAAAAATTAATTTTTTTAAACTTGAAATGCTTCAAATGTTCGCATTACTCTCTTTATACTTTTAAAATATTTTTTTTGATAAGTATCTTATAACATTCTAGTTGTGTTGCTCGTAATTTTGGTCATTTTCCGGCTACCTAAAGAACTCAAACCATAACTAGAGCTGTACGTCTAATCAACACATCCTAGGAGAAAGAAGACCTGAGCACGGATCAATTTAATAGTCAAACGTAACGAACACAAACTGCTCAGTAGGTGAAAAATAAGAAAGATGGGGCTACTACAGGCTATTAAGCTGCGCAGTGGTGGTGAATACGAGAAATACCATTACGTTAGGACTACTAAAGAATTAAATTTCTTGTTTATGGTAACCCGTGCGGTGGCCTTCTCTTTTCTAGAAGGTATTGGTCTAATGGCAATGCACTTATCAACCGTTTCTTGATTGAAACAGGCACGATTTATCGCCATTTCTACAGCCCAATTTTTATAACCATGGTTGAACAGTCGATCCAGTTTCATGGGTTTACGACTACTAATGTTCACCTCCGTAGCCTTGTAATTTTGATCCCAATCCAGAAGACAAGGGAACTCGTGGATCGAATATTGGGAGAAATTTGCATTCGTGGAGGACTTCTTGATGGAACTAACCCGCATTTGCGTAACATGGAGAGGATGACCACGAGAACCTCCCACGGTTAGCCTGGTGGCAAGGGGACTCTAACCCATGATCCGTCTACCACTGAGGATATTTCATGCCAGCACTGTGGTAGATGCAAGCTGGATGCGGAATTCGTATCGACTGGGCTTTGAACCCGGTTCGCCTCATTGGAAGGCGAACTCCCTATCCCCTGAGCCATCGCGGCTCCAATAGTAGGTTTTAACATGTAATTTAAAAATTATTATGCACATATATATATATTGAAATTTTTTTTCATCTGATTAAATAATTTAGCCTTAACATGTAACGCATAACTCTTGATCGTTACACATTTTGTGATTGTAATAAAATAATTTTATCCGGGAGTTTTGAATTAAAGTTAATATTTTTTTTAATAAATAGAATTTTTATCAAACCAATAACTGAAAAACATTCTTTTTTTACCTTTTAGATTATGTTTAAATTATTTGTGTGTAGTGCTAGACAAAATTCGTTTTGATTCTAAGTTCATTAAAATAGTTTTACATTATAAAACCACAAGAAATAATATTTTCTAAAACTAGGGAAGAGCCCAGATGGCACAGGGAATAGAGCGTTCGCTTTCCAATAAGGTGAATCTGGATCGAGTCCCAGCGATGGCTGGTCGAAACTAATTCCGAATCCTGCTTGCATCGACCACAGTGCTGACATAAAATATCCTCAGTGGTAGACGGATCATTGGTTAGTTTTTTTTTGCCACCAGGTTAAACATGCGAGGTTTTCGTGGTTTTTCTCTCCATATGAAGCAAATACGAGTTAGTTCCATCAAAAAAAGTCCTCCACGAAAGCAAAGAATTTCTCCCAATACTTAATCCAGGAGTTCCATTTTGTCTTCTGGATTGGCTACGTAGTTGTAAACCCGAAATTGGGTCGGCTGTTCACCGACGGTTATAAAATAAAAATAAAACTGAGGAAAATCCTAAGGACTAGGTTATGTTTGTACTTTTTTTTTAATTCAAAAATGAATAAAGTCTCATAGATATGAACGTTATTAAACGTTACAAGCATAAAATTATGGTCATAAAACAATGCTCTTACCTTCAGTTAGCTTTTCGTTTTAATTTTGTAACAATAGCTTAATTTTTCATAAAAGTGCTTTGAACAGAAAGCTGATAAACTTTTTTAAAATATTGTGCGCGTAGGATGTTTAAAAACGTAGCCATACATACGCATTATGTTATGAACTCTTTTATTTCAAATGTTTTGCATCTCTAACGATGTCATTTAAAATCGTAGTCTCAATAGCATTACAAATTTATCAGTTTTTTTCCTTAATTATTTTTATAAAAAACATTTATATTTGAGACTGCACATTTAAAAATGTGTA